CTTTTTCTGTATGCGCAAAGTTGCCCTATGCCTCCCGTATTTCTTTAATTAACCATATTCTTACGGGCAACTGAAAAATAACCTGGCAACCTATGAAATAGGTTTAAGTTGATGCTGAAAATGTTGGGCTGAAAGCAGTTGTTTTCTGTGTTGGGACTCAGTAAACATCTCTGCCTTGGACTAGTCCTTTGCCATGCTTCCCATAGCAGCCCTTTTGTGGAGTCAGTTCTTCAAATTGCCAAACAGGTGCATGGTTCAGTAAAGTAGACCAAGCTTGGTGTATTCGAATCTTGGCTATTGATTCCAATATTGCCTCCCATGACAAATATATAAACAGAAGAGTACTGCTCATTGTCCCAAAACCATGGGCACTATTCCATGGACATGTCTGTAGACTCACTGAAACTAATGGAATAAGTAAATCAAAGCTAATCAGACTATTGATTTATGGTCTGGATCCCACCCCATAAATATATGAGGTACACCTCATATACACACACACCTCTTATTTCTTTTGATAAACAGCTATGGAAAACTCATGCCTAAGAAATGAAACCATTATATTATAATATATAATATATAATATATACACACATTCACAAAGAGACAACGTGACACACAAACATCCAGCTGGAAAAAAATGTTTAAAAACCCATGGAATTTCATAAAGTTATTTAAAATATTTACTACTATTCTCATATCTGAAAACATACCCATAAGCCTGCTGGCATTTCATGCTCTGTTAATAGAAAATGTTTTAAATATAGAAAGATATACATTAAATACTACACAGTCATGCCTGAGGTAGCTAGTGCTGTATAAATGTAGGGCTTTTTAGGCTACAGTCCTATACACACTTACCTCAGAGTAAACCCCTTTGGAAGCCATGGCATTTATTTTTGCATGGACATGTATAAGATTGCACTGCTGATAGTTCAAATAATAAAACAGGGTATTTATGATAATATAAAAGTTCAAAGGATTTTCTAAGTAAAATTTCCTAATGCTGCATAAGCTCCCAAGGATAAAGCACTAAACTCACAAATAACTGTGTCAATCAAGCCTCTTCAGCCCCCTGCAAAAGATAGACCAAGATTTTCCAAAAGCAGCCTGGAATGATATTGGAATAATGTAAATGAGAAATTTATCTGATATAGATAGCCTGTTAATTAATTCTGAAGTGATATACATCCCACATTCTGTTCGCGGTCCCTGTCACATAAACCATGGCATGTCCATTCATATTTTCTGTGAGAAACAAGTATAGAGATATACAGATATACAATATGGCTGGAGGCACATTTTCAGATCAATCTGACATTTTAAAATTTCTTGACTTTTGCATGCAAGTCATCACCACAGGGATTTTTCTTTAATTCTCAAACCCTAAATAGCTTTCAAACATCTTTACATTCAGCTTTCACTTCTTAAAAATGAGACAGAAATTTTTTCAAAAGTTATTCTTTGTGAAATTCAGGACGGGTAAATGTTAGTCTTAGGCTGGATTCCTAAACATCACACATACAGTGGTTGCAGACTGCACAGCTTTCAATGACAGAAGTAAAAGGTTTTGTGACAATTATCAATGCAAAGGAACACCAGAATAGATGGTGCAATTCTTTGCCTAGACACCCAGACATAAGTCCTCTTGAGCCCAATGAGACCTATGCCCAGGTATGGAATGGCAACTTCAGTGTTTAGATTCTCTGTTCTTTGACTGGATTTAACATAACTTGTAGGACCAAATCACAAGTTTTGTTAAAGTCATGTAAGCACCTAATTTGCTCTTATCAAAGAGCAGTTATGAGGAACAGGACAAACAGGATCAGAACCTTGGCATGCAAAACAGAGTTTTTTTTAATGTTCAACCAACATTTTGCAATCCTCCCCAAACCCCCCCCCCCCCCGCCAATATCTTCGATTAATCCATGAAAGGGGGTTCCCTTTCACCAAAGGGACACCAAATGGCTAGATCAGGGAGATCCAATATGATGCTCGCTGGGTTTTTTGGACTAGAACTACCAATAGCTCCAGGCAGCATGGACATCTGCCAGGAATCTGTAGTGTAAAGCATCTGGAGGGTTCCAGGTTGACTACTCCTCTATTAGTGAAGTATGAAAACACAGCCCAATTTTACTGAAAAAGATCCATGATTTCTAATATTTGTTTAAAAATGTTATAAAGTTTTATTCTTTAGGTTTATAGAAGAATAGCTCAACTAAGCCTAAGGCTGTATCCCAGAAAAATCATATATTTTTCCCCTGTTCACCTCTGCCCACATTTCCTTTCCCATTCATCATTTGTTTCCCTTAAGTGCTTGGGGTAGTAACCTGTCAAACCTGTTCAATGTAAAGCACCATCTATAGATAGTAATTTCATGGTTTTCAGGTTAGGTATGGTTATCTGCTACACATTCTCAATTGTAGAAGGCTACAAATCCGAATAAATATGATATGATATGTGGCAATTAAAAACAAATGCAAACCATGTCTTTTCTTATTGTCTTAATATTTTGGCTGTATTATGGGATATACACTGAAAATATTATTTGCAGATACACAATTCAGCTGCTATATATTGAAGTATGTTCAAACTAGAACCTTTTTTTCATATTTTTACAAGTTTTATTATTCTGTTGATAGCCTTGAAAGTGTTCTTGTGTCCTATAGATGGTATACAAGCATCCATAAATAAATAATTGTATGTTTATGAAGTTGCATTTTCTGGAATTCCCCCAAGTAGAATAGCAGTTTTCCAAGGACAGGTAGTGAAGTGAGTTTTTAAGATGGGGGATGGTCTTAAAAGAGAACACAGTGGAACTGAGAACAACCTATATGCATAGATACATGGTAAATGATCATTGACTGGTTGTGTCCCCCCCCCCCCCCCACAATTCCTGATATTAAAGGAAAGCTCCACAGATACTTAATGCTATGTGAATGACTAGGTGCCACAGTTTGCAATTAGGCAGTAAAACAATGTTAGAGTAAAAAGATATGCGTAGTGTTTTATAGTGTTCTTGCTCAAAATGTATCCCCACCATCCAATGGGACCCCTACAACCACTCTATCCATTTATCATTCCATTTCTTTAATACTCCATCACTTCCAACATATTCCTGTAACTACCTCCTTGTAATCTCAACTGATTCCCATCACATCTACTCTATCATCTACTAGCTGACAAAGGTATATTCCAACTATTTCTTACCATTTCATCAACCTAATAACATAACTTCTACTTTGCTTTGCTTTGCCACCATCTCCTCCATTCTCCTCTTATATTCTTTCATTAAATTATGTCAATCCTAACTTTTCTAGCTATAGAATCCTACTTACTTCTTGGAACCTCCTTTTCAGCATCACATTTACTCTCAGTATCTATCCCTTGAATATCTTGTCTTCAGTGTGTTCAAAAAGCTGGGATACACCTTAAAAACGGCAACATACAACCCAGATACTTCCTTCCTAGTACTATGGTTATACAAACACTGCCCTTGAGAAGCATCAGCCAATGATCACTGCACTGTAGTAAAACTTGTTCGGTTTGTCATCATAGTTCTACTATTTATAGTAAATGTCATCATATTACTACTGGCTTTTAGTTATTTCATATTAATAATCCAGTGAAGGAATGTGCATATGGGGACAGTGGATCCCTTCAGAGCTTCCACTTTATCTGCTTGAAGAGTCTAGTTCTGTTTTCTAGAGTTCCTGCCTTGGACAGCATTGTTACATTGCTGTTCTGGGCATTAAGACACAATTCTAGCTACATTGACTTGAATGTAAGCCCCATGGAACTGATCAGGCCATATGGCCACAAAAGCATGCATAGGATTGCACTAAAGAATCACCTGGGCACACCTGGTCTTGTGCCGATATTCTAGGACCCAATTCAAGGGGCTTGCACAAAATAAAATTTTAAGGGTCTTTTTTAAGGAAGAAAAGAGGGCAGAGTACCAGGATGAAAGGCAACAGAGAAGAAAAATACTGACAAACAGTTAAGAAAACAGAGTAGGTATAAATATATGGCAAACATTTCCAAAGTAGTCCCATATAGCAATGTGGAGATGAAAGTCAAATCTTAGTTTTGAAAAACTGATACCCTGAAGTTCCCTCATTGGTTGTTTGTTTATTTTTTGCTTCTCTGCATCAGTTTGCATAATCCACACTGATCTCCAGATGTTTAAGACCACAGGCCTCAGAATTCCTTACTGGCCATGCTGGCTGGGCTGATGGGAGTTGTAGTCCAAAACATCTGGAGAGCAGAAGGTTGGGGTAAGCTGCTGTATGTCATCTTCCTTTTACCATCCACTAATTCCACTAAAACTTGCCATTCTCTCTGGCCTGATCTGTATTGCTCTTTATCTGGTTTCCCTTCTTTGGCTGCACTGCTCTAAGAGCACACTATCCATCTACTGTAGTTGGATTTCATTCCTATAATTTTCACTGGTCATTCTGGATGCACCCATTCAGCTGTGTTTCATCTTTCTGTACACCTTAGAGCTCTTCCCACCCACTCGCCATGTTCAATATCAAAGTTGCTGTAACTTTTTTGCCTGCCACAAGGCCCACTCAACCGGCACCTTGCCAAGAATCTTTTTACCCAATTCCTTCTGCCTTAGGGCATCCAAACAGTAGTTTTTCCTCCATCGACGCCAATGGATCCTTTCTCAGACCCTGCATCTCTTTTTCCTCTAAACCTTACGTAAAGGGTAGAGGGAAACTTTGCAAAACACCCAAGCAGCTTTATAAAAAGTCAGGCTAGGCAACAAGACTAGCAGAACTGGCAAATCGCGGGCAGAGATGCCAGATCTATCCTACCCCGCCACACTTCCTGTTTTGTGCATTCACCTGCGAGGCGCAGACGCCAGAGACCTTTCTACAGTGACATGCACGTCTATCTATCCATCCATCGATCAATAGAGCTATCGCTATGTATCTGTCGCCTCGCTCCCGTAGCCCGAGTAGGCAGAATAGATTGACTGAGGTGTCAGTTACCGGGGAGGCAGAGCCGTTCTTACAGAGAGGTCCCCTGAAGATCCCTTTAATGCCACGGTAATGCCCGTTGCTGAGATGTCTGGAGCTGATCACCAGGTAGCACGCCATGCGGGTCCGGGCGGGGTCGAGAACGGGGCAGTGGGTCGGCCCGCGAGATTCCGGCTCCGGAGGGGGGTGGGTGGGGTGGAAAGCCAGCTGGCTTCTCCGCAGCAGCAGCAGCAGCAGCAAGAGCCGCCAAGCGCTGCTCCTGCGCCCCGCCGCCGGACTAGGAGCCCCGAAGGAAGCGCCACCACTACTTGCCCCCCTTTCCACCCACCCCCGCTCGCTCATCCAGCGCCCGGATTGCTGCTGCCAGCGGCAGGGCGTTCTGAAGAAGGCGGCGGCAGCCAGAGCGCACTGGAGGGAGCCGGGGAGCCAGTCCACATGCTGTTCCGCTGAGTAGCTCCGCCGGAGGATCGAGGAAAGAGCGAGCGAGCGAGCGCGCAACTTGGCGGGATGGGAGGTTCCGCAGCCGGTGCTTCTCTCTCTCTCTCCGCCCCCCACCCGCGTCTTCTCTTCAGGGGGGTCCTACAGAGGCGCAGGCATCCTCGCGGGAGGGTCTCGGAAGCTGCAGCTCTCCATAGCTGCTCCCTGCGCCGGGGCGCGAAGCAGCAGCAGCTGCAGCAGCAGCGAGGTCCAGAAGACAAGCCAGCCAGACCCTGGCACCCAAGTCGTTCGCGCGCCGCTGCAGGCAGTGTTAGGCAGGCAGGCAGGCAGGCGGCTGAGCCCGAGGCTCCCTTCGCACCTCACCTCAGCGCGCTCGGGCTGGCGAGGAGGGAAACACGGGCGAGGGCGCGCGCCAGGCAGCCGAGAATTCCCAGCCCTTCTCCCCCAGTGGCCGCCCAATGGGAATTTGGAAAGAGGCAGCAGCAGGTGTAGGTCGCCAGGCGCCAGCCCAGCTTCGCTCCTCCTCCTCCTGCCTTCCAGAGCGCCGAGGCGACAGCAGCCGCGGCGGGCATTCGCTCTCCTCAGCGCACAGAGGAGGGGGCTGGCGACGCGTGGAGGGAACCCCTGGCCGCTCGCCCGCGCGCCTCAGGCTCCTCTTGGGCGCCTGGGGAAGAGTGGCACATCCTGCGCGGCGCTGCTCTGCGCGACCCTCTTCCGCCTGGAAACCGGCCGCCCGCAGCCCCTTGAGGCGGCGTCGCCGGAGGGGGTTCAAAATACCCCGGCCCCCGTCGCCGGAAGAGGACCTCGCCGTCCCGACGAGGAGGGGCGCCCCCCCCTTCCCGCCCCGCCGCTCTCGCGGCGCCGCCCGCATCGTCCCATTAAAGCCTCCACCGAGCGCTCCCCTGGAATTCGCTTCCCCGCATCGTCACGAGGGCTCGCCTGCTCGGCTTTCCCTTCAGCTCCGCACGGGAGGCGGGAGCCGAGGCGGCGGAACGGGGGCTGAAGGGAGAGCAAATGCAACTGCAACTTCCCACTCTTGGAGAAGTATCGGCTGCACGGCGTTTAAAAATATATACTTAGCAAGCCCACAGCTAGTAAGAAGCTGGGCTGGTGGGGAGAGGGAACGTAATTCCTTTGGTTTGGCTCTGTCCAGGCTAGGGGTAATTTAACTATAAGATTAAAAAAGACATTCCAAAATTTCTGACAACACTCATGAAACGTGTGTTCCTAAACTTATATCCCACCTTGTCTCCGAGATGCTCAAGGGGACTTAACCATCCATGTTTTTAGCCTCACAACCAGCCCTGTGATGCTCTGGTTAGACCTAGCATAGGTGACTGGGCCAAAGTCACCCAGTGAGGTTCAAGCCCTGCACGGGAAGTACATCTCCCCAGTTCCTGTCCAGCGTTCCCATTGCTATGCCACACTTGCGTGCAAATTTGGAGCTAGCCAGCAGGCTTTCCCAGTCATGATGACCCCACTCACGTGGCACCAATCTTCTTACACAGGAAAAAGTTAAGCAGATGTTTTACAGGGTTGGGGCACAAACTTCTGCAGAAAAGGGGCCTGCAATTCAGACAAGCTCCAGGTTTGCATGCCCACATACATAGGGTGACATCTGGAATTGCCCCACCTCCAACATGAAGCTTTAAACAAGGGACAGTCCAAGTAACATCACCTTCCATTTGAAACCCTTTCTCATTTTCCTATCACTTTTTCCTTCCATTGAGAAGGGGGATATAGAATAGCTGCACAGAGCATTTTGATTGGTAGCACCAGGAGTGCTCTGTCTGGAAGCATCCTTAGCTGTGTTTTTTATAGCTTCTGCTGGATTTTACAGACTTTACTGATATTTATGGATGCTGCTTCTGCTATGTTGTATTGCTCTTTTATTGAGCTTTATTATATTTGTTTTTATGACTTTAAATTGTATGCCATCTGGGGACTTTTATAGTGAAGGGCAGTTTATCAATTCACTAAATAAACAAATAAATAAAAATAGATGAAAGTGTTTCTGAGAAGGTACAGAATGCATTTCCTTCATCTCTGAGTTTTTCAGCTATTGGGAAAATACAACTGAAGACCTGCTGTTACTCAATTAAGCAGATGAATGCATTCACTTAATATGCTGATTAGAAAAAAGCATTGAGAACAGTGATTCATATTGTTATACCCCCTCAGGTATAGATCTGATCACTTCAGATTGTGATGTGAGTCCGGAGATCTCCTTTTCTACAAGTGAAGCAGTTTCTGTCCTGCAGTTCATATTGACCACAAGTCTGAAACCAACCACATGGGCAATTGTAAAATGGACAATAGCTTTATTCCTTAAAAACAAACGACAAAAAGTCTACCATTGTTTTATTTCAAGTATGGACAATAAGTAGAAATGCATTAAAAGTATACTTTTAATGATGATCACATCCATATGCATCTCTAAGAGGGTGGATTGATGTGCATGAAGAGTCATTTACAAGCTAAATAACTGACATAGTTTTGCAACCATGAAATGTTTCCAACATTAAGGCAGTTGAAAACAGGTTGCTATTTTTCTCCTCTGCAGGGTATACACACCATCAATCTCATTTAGCTTGATATGCAAACTCAGCTTCCTTTCTTCAATACACAAGGAATGTCTCTGCAGCCCTAGTGTAAATACTGCATATATTCAGCTAATTTGGTTAAAACCCCCACACAGTCTTAGCAATTAACTGGAGGCAACCCATTCTCCCAGATGTGTCTATATAATTATGAAACTACCACCATAAACAAAAACTGCACCAAAACACATCCTTCTTTAATAGACAGAATTAAGCTAGAGTGAGGGTATACTGTTAGGCCCCTAGAATTCCAAATTCCAAAGTATGAAAAAATAATCTATGCCATTTATGCACCTTGATTTTAATTTGAGATGCACATTTCATTCTGATTGCAATCAGTGCTAAAAGTAGTTTATGTGTCTTCCATCCAATTCCATTTGGTTAAACAAAAAATATTAAGCTAATGTAGATGAAATGTTTTGTGGGTCTCCATAATGACTGGCTTTGGATGACACAGCAGCCCATTCTGAGTTAATTAATCCTCAGTGACATGTGCCAGTTGCCCTATGAATAGGCAACCTCCAGCCAGGGGTTCTCATGTGAACATGACCAAAAGAGAATATGTGAGGGCTAGACATCCCTCATATAACGCATGTGCAGAGATTATTGAAGCTTCAAAGATCTCAGGGAGGCTGGGCTAGCATGACATAAACTCCAGTCAGGGGTTGCATGTTCATAATGGCAGCTGCCGCATGTCTCAAGGGTAGATTGACCCACAATATACTGTCATGTCATGCAAACTTGCCCATTGTGTTGTTAGTATTCGGCACTTAAGCTGCCCACTTTTGCTATTGTCTGCAGTACTGGAATTATGCAGAACTAAAAGCATAGCTACACCTGTGCTCCCTTCCATTTTCATATACCACCCTGCATTGCCCCTTATTAACCACTGCCTTTCTCATACATATATGCATATCCTTGTAATATGGGCAAGGATTTAATTCAGTTTGTTTTTTTACCAAATTCACAAATTCCTTCATTAACAGAACAGAAAGAATTTCAGATTTTAAAAATATAAATGCGGAAGAAAGTGAAACGGTCATTCATCCTCCAGGCAAAAGGCTTTGACTGCCTTAGAATTTGAAGGTGCTTCCAGACATTTATTTATTTGTTTTTTTTTGTTTATAACTTTTCTAGACTGTCCCATTACCAAAGTCTCGGGACAGTTTAATAATACAAAATGTAAAATAAAACACAGCATCCTAAAAATGCAATAAAACCCCAATTAAAACAATCAGGTCTTAAAACATTGAGAAAATAAAAAGCCTTTATTGCACCATCACTTACATAATTTCTCAGTGGATTTAGATATCATCTTCCATTTGTAAGCCTAGTGCATTTTTCCACAGTTTTTTTCTACATTGCTTCTTGCCACAGAGAAGCCTGTTAAGGGGGCGGGGGCGGGGGGTGGAGAATGGATGCACAATGCCTTCTGATTGGTAGTGCTCAGCCTTGCCCTTTACTGGTGATTACCCTAAATCTCTGTGTATTTAGCTATCATTCTGGTGCTGAATTGCGGGGGGGGGGGGGGGGGGAGAGGCACTCCTTTTTGCCTGACTCCTCATCTTCTACACAGCTTCACAGCAAGCAGGTGACAGCATAGCCCTCTCCATGCAGGAAAAAGTGCAGTCAAGGGATTTAACTTGTATCTTTTGATAAGAACTTAGTACAATTCACAAATTTCTTCAGCAAGAACTAAAACTAGAGAGAAGAGCTAGAAGACACAGTGGAAGAACTGGAACTACAAAAAAGCTTTCAGACACTGGAGAGCATCCTGAAGAGGAAGAACTACAAGGCATGTCACAAAGAACCATTGGCTTGCCAGGTATGTTATCATCCTGGAGGACAGGTAGGAAGGAGATGGGATTGAAACGTTGCCAGTGCTTATGCACACATATGTCTCCCTTCTTATCCATGTGGAAACAAAGGCTACAGCCTTTGTTTCAAAGCAGAGTTTTGAAGAAATCCTAACAGATTTGGAGCTTTGGAAAGGAAACTCAAGAGATTTGGGGCCCAGATAGCTATGTCATCCATCTTTCTAGTAAGTAGAACAGGAAGAGAAAGGGAAAGAAAAGCATTCCG